CGTCTGCAAACATAATAGTAGACATAGTATTTGATGCTTTATATAGATCGTTGACATAGATTAAGAATAGCAACGGACCTAAGATGGAGCCTTGTGATTCTTAACCATCTTGTGATTCTTAACCATTTAAATATTTATTAACGCCTGGAGCATTTCCTCTTATTTTATCTCTTATTTTAACATTCAAATTAACCAAAAAATCCTTCTCTATCTTCATAAGCATCAAAAACTGCAAGTTATCTTGCGACAAGGAAGATCTAAATCTACTTTTTATAATTTTTAATTTGGAAAAACTACTTTTGCAAGCTATTTGTGCCGAAGATAATGTTAAAACAAATTTATATGCAAAATAAAAATTACTATATACTTTGCTATATAAATTATTTTTAGCCAAGAAATTAAAACAGCAATAAATACAATTTTTTACAACTTTTTTTGCTTTTAAGGCTTTACTCATTATATCTGAATCTGACTCAGTTAATTGATTGGTGTTATATCTTGCTTTGATATTTTAAAGTATTCCTATTTTGCCTTTAAATCAGTTAATTCCTCTCTTAAATTGACGCTGGAGCTGTTTTATGATATTAATTATAAAAATTAGTTAACTATTAATTTACTGAACTCTTCTAAACTGTTTTCTAAACATTTATTGTGGGTAAAATATTTTGGGTATAATATTGCTTTTTAATTTCATTGCATTTGATTTTCAAAACGGTTTTTTATAGTATTTGTTGTGGTATCCATAATTAATTACACATTCTCGGCCTCTATTTCGACAGGCCTACAGAGAAACATCCTGGTGTTCCACCGGTTCAGTCTGTCACTGGTTGCAGTTATAATGCGATGAGCAAGCAACGTATTTAATACTATTAAGCTATTACTTTTAGTAATGATTTTTACTTAACATGGTTCTTATAAAAATAAAAGTAAAAAAGTTAGAAAACGCAAACATTCAAACTGCTTTAATTAGTCATAGAAAAACTGCTCAATTCGTTCATGCTGACGATAAAACATGTGTTATTTTTAACGAGTATTTAATTCTTATTGTAATAAAACAATGTAGTATATAACAACAATATTAAATATATAAAAATATATTATAAATAATAAAGTATATAATAACAATAAAGCAATAAAAAAACTGCAAAGTTGTTTTAACATTATAAAGTTGTTTTATCATTATAAAGTTGTTTTAATATTATAAAGTTGTTTTAACCTTATAAAGTTGTTTTAACCTTATAAAGTTGTTTTAACCTTATAAAGTTGTTTTAACCTTATAAAGTTGTTTTAACCTTATAAAGTTGTTTTAACATTTAACCTTTTATTTAGCATTTAATATTGTTTAACATTTAACATTTTAATCTTATAAAGTTGTTTTAACCTTACAAAGTTGTTTTAACATTATAAAGTTGTTTTAACATTATAAAGTTGTTTTAACATTACAAAGTTGTTTTCTTGCTGTTTTATAGAGTTTATAACCTTAATAGCATAATAACGAAGTAAATAAATAGAATAGTTCTAATTAATAAACTTATACATTATCGTCATAAAACTTAAATCTTCATACATATGAAACAAAAACATGCCTCTAGACCATACGAATCTATAAATCTATAGACCAAATGAGTAAATCAAAGCAAAAAAAAATTAAATGCCGCGTTTTTTACAACTTGTTGTTTCTTGATCTTGTGGGTAGAGCGGGGCAAGTTGAGAATAAGGGCAAGTAGGGAAATTAAAATATCTCAAAAACTACGCATCACATGACAAAACATCTAATGGATTAAAGTTCGGTAATTAAAATGTTAACAAAAAAAATTGTTGGAAAGCAGTTGACAAGATACACGGGTACTTTTATTATTTAAGCCAAAAAAGTCACAAAAAAAGTTTTGCTACTTTTCTCTTAGATGTTTGAAATTTTTTTTTTATATAACATCACTTTAGTGTTGTTATTTTAACAATTTATCGGACTTTTGATTAAAATTACTCTTTTTTTTAGCATATTCATTCATTTTTTGTTTGCTCAAATTAATCTACATTGTAGCTCAACTTACTCCTAAACAGGTTAACTTACCCCTTAACAGGACAGGTTAATCGGCTCCGCAAACTTTAGGCAATATAAAAAAAAAAAATCAAAAAAAGCGCTTGCCATGGCCGTATCTTGGAGGGATGCTAGGTGGAACAATATGCCAACTGACTGAATCAATATTGTTTTCAATTTTATATTTTTGGACGAGGTCGTCGCATAAACCTCTGTCGTGTAGAAAGGTAAGGCCAGTTTTGATGCGTCTTGTAGTCGAAGCGCTTTAATTCGTGTGGTACTTTAGTAGCCCGATTTTGGATGCGTTCTATGATGTCTATGTCTTTTTCAAGGTAAAGGGACCAGGCAGTAACTGCAAACTTGAGATGTGGGCGTATATAGATAATGTAAAGTTGTTTCTATACTTTGATATCTCTGCTAATGAATGTGTCTTTTAATATTCCAAAAACTTTATTAGCCTTGGCAGCGGCAACTTTTGCAACGACTTTAAGTCGTTGGATATTTGAACTCCAAGGTCCTTTTCGGGACCTTGGAGTTCAAATATCCGTCGAAAAATGCGTTCAAGAAGTTCGCGCAGATTCGTGACGCAGGTTTTTTTATTGACGTATTGGCAATCAGCAATAAGTTTATAAGCGACAAGTTTATAAGCGACAAGGTGCGGCACGGTCTTTTCTTTGACAAACTTTTCCATTACTTTGCATGGTACAGAGGTGATGGAGACAGGCCTGTAGTTTTGTGGGCCGAGCTTGGAGCCTTTTTTGAACAGTGGCGTCACGTTTGCCGAAGGCCAGGCTTTTGGGACTACACCTTGATACATTGATTTCTGAAAAATGGTGGCGAGTGGGGCAGCCGCCGCATCGGCACATGCTTTAAGCAGATAGGTGTTTATGAACGGAATCGTAGCTGAAAATGAAAAAGGAGATTAAAGCGATACCTCCCTTTTTTGAATAATTTGATTGTGTATACTGACTGGAACTGGCGATTAAATATATTTGCTATGGATTAAGTATATTTGCTATCGCTGCTTATTTCCCCAAAAGGTGAGCACATAGAAGTTATTTGGTTACTGACAGCGCGTTTATTGTTCACATAGGCGTATAGACGCTTCGAATGCAATTTATCGTTTGCTAGACTGCGTTCGAATGCTCTAATGGTAATGCTGGAAGCTTTTTTACCAAGGTTTCGAGTTAGTCTATATTCTTTAACAATAGGGATAATTCGCCATTTACTATTCCGGTTTAGGTACCAAAGTTTTTTCTTACGTTTAATTAGTAAAATTTCGCTAGTTATCCAAGGCTGCTTGCGTTTGGTTGGTTTGGAGGGGAATAAATTCTTCGGAGAATAAATTCTTCGAGGGACGGGGATACAAACGGGGAATAAATTCTTCACAGCATTTGATATAGTTTCCGCCAATGATTTGATAGCATTTGTCAGCATACTGGTCTTTAAACAGACTGATCCAATCAACTTAGGAGAGTTTCTCGTTTAGATTCCTGTATCTCTCCCGTATATAAATTTTGAGCTGTTAAAACGGGGAGAGTTGTAGACGTTTTTAGCTATCTGGTGTTGCCATGTCAGAGTACAGTGACCCTGTGAGGCTCTACCAATAGTGATGTGGCTTGTTCGCTCGCTCGCTTGGGTAATTACGAGGTCGTGTTTTTTTTTTTTAACAGACTGTTAGTTTGAATGAAGGTGGTATTGATTACGTGCAGGTGTAGATGTAGCTCAAAAATGATTTGGGAAAATTTAGTGCCAAAACTAATTTCAGTAACGGTGGTATTGGTCCAATCATCATGCCATATGACGTCGGGAAAGTTAAAGTCACCGGTGATTATGAGAGCGTTAAATTTTTTGTTTTCTACGGCCTTTTTCGCATAAGAGATAGATTTTACTATTTCATTAAGGCCAGAGCATTAATGGTAGGTGGGAGATAGATGCAGCCAATTAAAAGAGATGGTTGTGGGAGTTTTAGTTCAATCCAGATAAAATAAGTTCATGTTTTCATTCCATTTTTTCATTCAAATTTTCAAAAAAAAAGTTTGCTTAATAAATTAAAATATATTTTATTATATATGAATTATATTTCCTTAAGTTTAATAAATAAAGGAGAATTACATTACCTTTAAAACAGGCTTAAATTTTTTTTTTTTTTTTTTTTAAATTTCTTTGAACAGGGGTAAAATAAGTTATGAATTTTGATTTAAATTTTTTATAATTTATTTTTATTTTATTTTTACCAATTACTAGTTTAATATTTGGAATCAGGGCCGCTGATAGAAGCGAGGTGGGGAGAGACCACAGGATACATTTTACCTAGGCACACAGACAAAGGGGGCACATGCAACCCTCAATAAAAAATTTTATTAAAATTTTTTTATAATCATAAATAGCACTACTTCTTTGAAGAAATTTAAAACAGATCTAAAAGACTCTTATTAAAATTAGAATTTATTACAACAGACTTTAATTATTTATTATTCTAAGTTTAATTGAAAGTAGAAAAAAAAAACCTTGTTACTAACACTATATGAAAATATTTTATTAAACATTAGTATAGAAAATGCATACTTTTATTTTAAATCAGTAGAAATATATTATAATTTTACGTTCTTTTAAAGACTTTTTTATCATTTTGAAAAATTTAAATGTATTTTATATATATTTTAAAAAGGATTATGTATAAATTTGCTTTTATATAGACACAAACCATATGTAAATGGGGCTCGGTGATAAGATAGTTCATGTTTGATCTTTACTCCGGCCTAAACTTAAATATGTGGTATGTATTTATTGTAAATTTATCAATGGCAAACTTTCAAACAGTCAAATTATGAAACGTCAAAAAAAAAAAAAGGGAAAATTAATCAGATAATTCTAGGCAAAACATTTGACACAAAATAGATTTTTTTAAAGAAAAAAACCTAGTAGCTATCTATATTTTATAGAAAAAAGTCTAGTAGCTGTCGATAAAATTTTGGACTTCTGATCTCTAGGTTGTCGATCAGCGGCAGCAGCAAACTTCTTAAACCAGCGTTGTGGATCGAAGAAAATGGCCGCATGTCAACAACAATATAATTCTAGAATAGCAAATAAATAAATTACACTTTAGCATGGCAAATAAAGACTTATCAAATTGCAATTTACCAGCACATTGTGGTCCAATTCCTTTTGTGTGATAGGCTGCTTGTTGACCTTCCTTTTAGTGTTCTTGACCACAAAGTGTACATCCAGAGTAGACTGCTTTTTGTTGGATTGTCTTCCAGCCTCCACTGCTTTGTTAAAACTCAGCATTTCAACTCCAAGATCCTCACCATGATAATTCTAAATAAAAAATTCAAAATTGAGCATATACAAATACTCAGATTTTTCTCAAATGCTCAATTATTACCTTGATGTGCCTACGAAGATTTGAAAGATAATTTTTTGGCATGAAGATTGGCCGTAAGGCTCGGAAGGTGCGTTGACGTGGGCAGTTTTTCATGCGGCATTCAAACAAGAGTCCAGATTTCCCAGTTTTACTTGGTCCTATAAGTTTGAAGAACTCGGGTGGGACGTATGTTGATTTGATTTTTTCCTGTCTGCTGCCCACCATGCTTATTAACGTCCATCTGTTCCTCTTCATCTTTAGATTCTTCGCTTTGAAAACTGGATTGACTTAAAAGATAAAAATATGTAAATTAGCATTGACATCTTTGGTTCTGGATAGCTAGTTTAGTAATTTGATGAAGCTTATTAGCGTATGCTTACTCTGACAAGCAGCAAAGTAAACACAAGGCATGTTAACTTGAAAGTCGAAAACTGTCATAGTGTCAAGCTGAATATAATTATGGATAAGTTCAGAGTTAATAAAACTGAACATGTTAGAGCCTAAATCACATAGATAAAATGCGGCAAAATGCCAAAATCTCCTGCCAGTGTCACTTTTAGATTAACGAATTAACAAGATCAATTGGACTTTTTAAATAAACTAATTTAGTAACATACCTGCTGACTTGGATTTCATCAATGCATGATGCACCACTTGTACCTTCTTCAGCTATATCTCAATTTTACTATTGCAGTATCAACTTTTTTTTATCAAACCGATTTTATGGTTTCCGAGCATAAACCAACGTTTCCGAGTTTAGTGCTAACTCTGTGGGCGCACTTGCAAAAGGCGAGGCAACACTCATTTAAAAGTTTTAAACCCACGCTGGGTTTCCAATAATGGCGATTTGTTAATGATAAATAATCGATTTCGCGGATGTTTTTTTATTTATAACATTTCGGGGATATTTTAAAATCTTTAACAGAAGTTTATCACACACAGTAGCTCTTTTATTTAATAACATTAAGTAATTTATGTTGAACTACTTATGTTAAAGGTGAGATTTAATAGCTGATCGAATAAAAGAAGTAAAAGCCGTTACAAATTTTACCTAAGTGCGTTTCTGGCAAATAAAAAATAAAAAGCTAAACAATAAAATATAAGCTCAATAAAAACAAAACTTTTTTAAAAAACCATAAATAATTCTACACTTTAAATAAAAAATATAAATATATATTTAGAATACTTTCTATACTTACTTCTGGATCCTAATATTTCTATTATAATTTCATTATATATTTTTAAAGGACTAATTAACAGTTGAATTCCAAAAACTTTATATATCTTCGCTTTTTTGACTGTTTGATTTTGCGTAAATAACCGCGTTTTTTTCAGAACGCGCTTTTTAAAATTCAGAAAAGTTTTTAAACTAACTACTTTAAAAAATGAAAGTGAAACAACGCCAAACGTTAACTTCAGTATTAAAATTAAAAAGTTTCTCTGACTGGTTACATACATGTGCTGTTTTAAATATAAAGTTAAATATTTGACCGCTAGACGGCGCATTTCAACATGGAGTTAGCTCCATGTTAACTAGTTCAATATTTGGCCGCTAGAGGGCGCAGAATGAGCGTAATTTTTGAGAGTCAAAAAAGTGTTTGCTCGCGCTCACGTTCATCTAAATTTGACGTCGCTCGCGCTCACATTTCGCTCAGAAGTTTTGAGCGCCACTTATGAGCGGCGCTCATTCACTTCACTTAGGTTTGCAAGTAACTTAGAATCTGATAAAATTTCTTCACTTTCTTTTCTCTTCTCTTAGAATCTGATAAAATTTCTCTTAGAATCTGATAAAATTTCTTCACTTTCTAACACACCTTCACTAAGCTTTGCAAGTAACTTAGAATCTGATAAAATTTCAGCACACCTGCGAACCTTTTTATCTAGTTCAAGAGTCATCACTTGACTTTTTGTTATCCACCTTCTCACACAAGAAACAATTTTCTTGAAATTTGTTGACCTGAAACTTTGACCTTGTAACATGGTTTGGGATTGATCGCTCTTCTGTCACATTTAAAATTTTTCTCCGTTTAGATGCTCTCTGGTAGTGATAGTTATCAAAATTAGTGTAACATTTTTTGTGATATACTGCGTTGTTGTTGCAAAGCAGTTGCAGCAAATCTTCGCATTGCAGTCGGGAAGTTAAACCAACTGACAAACTACCTGCATAAGATAAATCTGAATTTTCAGCAAAAAATTACTTAACAGATTTTTGTAGATAAATACTTTCCACTCAAGATATAATATAAAAACAAATGGTTTGTTTTAAAAAACATTGGATTAAATTTAGTTAAAGAGTGAAAAAATGAAAATTTGCTTCAACACTTGAGAAAATATGAAAGCAGAAAATGATTTACATTTGATAAGACAATATCAGCCTCTATCTGATAAATTTAACTCACTAATTTTCTGTTAAAAGCAAATGACAAAAAAGGATGTATTAAAAACAAACATATTGTTATATAATCAAATCTATTTCTTTGAACTTCTCTAAGTTACTAAGTAATGTCTTATATCCAGTGTCTTTTTGCTGTTTTTTTGATTTAGAAGGATTAATAATGTCGCTAATGGTCGATGATTGCTCTTGACATATAAAACATTTATCCCACTCAGTCGCATTATTTGTTGTTGTTAATAATTCATAACCTGTTGCATTTACAAGTTTGAAACTCTTGTGAGACATTACAATTTAATATTAACTTCTATAGGTTATTTTTGTTATTTGGTTTTATATAGATTTTTAAAGGTTTTACTTTTTTTTCATTAATATAGTAAAATAACAGTAAAAACAACTGAAAATAGCAAGCTCTATCATAAAGCTAGCTATTTTCAGTTTTTTTGATCAACATTATTAAGTTTATAATGTTTATAAAAACTTAGAAATAGTTAAAAATTAACAAAATAAAAAAATATATAAATAGGAAATTCATTGGTAAATTACATTAACTCAGGAAAAACTAAAAAAATAACTCGTGACGTATATATTCACGAATATTAACTTATCATGAAAGATATATTTACCAACTTACGAATACATCGTCGTTTATTTGTTTATATACTTTGTTTGCACTCACCAAAAAAAAAAAGTATTGAATTGTATTTGTTATAAAAATTTCAAGTATGACCACGTGCATCATTTCCGCTTTTATTTAAAGCTGATTTTACACTAAAATATAAAGTTCTTTAAGTCCATTTCTCTAAAAAATGAAGGCTCAATAACAGTTATTGAGCCTTCATTTTTTAGAGAAATGGACTTAAAAAACTTTATAAGAAGTAGATACCGAGTTAAAGTTTGAACTGCAGCACAGTAATTGCTGCATTACACTTCTACAGGATGGTTGGTCAAGCGTCCAAAATGACCCAATCCTTGCTTCTTCCATACACACGGGTTCCAAGGTTTTTTTATTGGAATAAAGACGGCCGAATTCTGTGCTGAAAAAGCAATTCAGTCCATCAAAATGTGTGAGGAGAAATACGGAAAAGAGGTAGGCTAAGTTCTTTTGTTATTTAAAACAATACCATTGTAGCAAAGATGTTAACATTTTTGGTATGCATAAACTCATAAAACTTTGCTTCTCGTAAGTTATATATGTAAAAATATAACTTTTATAGTTTTAAAGTAACATAATGCTATGAAGTATCACTGATCACGATCCTGTACCATACTTTAAACTTTCAGGTGTTTGCTCTTTGCACAGACAATGAGAATAAAATGAAAAAAATGAAGGAAATTGTTCAACAATCATACCCCAACATATTGATGTTTGGTTGCGCAGCTCATTTAATGAACTTAGTTGAGAAAGATGTCACACTTCAGACAGTTTTGAAGCATATTGTAGAAGTGCAGAAGTACTTCAGGAATGTACATCAAGCTCATGTAAAAACAAAAAAACATGGAACTTTGTCTTGTCATTCTGTTAAAAAATAAGCCTTGGTTGCAAGCTACAATTGTTGACCTTGCTAATTTAATAAATTAGGTCTTTAGATATGAAGCAATTTATTATACATTGTAATTGTTTAGTTTTAGTATAAATAACAACTATAGTTTCTATGATTGAATGGTAATAGTAATTTACTTTTTTTCTACCTCATAGGGATGGCTGAAAGCGAAAAGGGCCTCATACCACAGTTACCCAATGAAACTCGTTGGAATTCACAGGCCGAGTGTGTGAGAACATTTAATTATCACCTCAATCTCGAAATTCAAACAGAACATACAAAACATTTTAATGACAGCATCAAGAAATATTGGATCACGTCATCATATTCAGGGAGGCGACGCAACTTGTAAAACAACTGGATGCTGTTGCAGCAGCTTTAAATAAGGAACCAAGACAAAATATTCCTTTAAATACTAAATTGCTAACTTAATAAAATAGTTTTTTTATGCTCTAATTGTTATTGGTGATTGCATGTAATTGGTGCTACATTTCCATTTAGCTGCAGGCAGATACAACAAAGTAATCTGATTGCGTGGATATATGGCTGGATATAATTGAAAACACTGATTTGGAGAACTATGGTCAGTTTTTTAGAAAACGCTTCTTAGAAACTATACAGCCATTTCATTATTTAGCCTACATGCTAGATCCAAGGAAAAAAGGTAGGCTAATGAAAAATAAACAAAGATAGCTTTACAAAACATATAAGATATTTGTTCTGAAATATTTGTAGTAAATATATTTTTTGGACAATATAAGGCTAGTCTTGTTATTAACTTATTTTTTATGTGACTTTAGTTTTTACTTTTTACATCACACGATGTAGCCGGTGTGTACTGTGTAGTTTGCGTAGGTGAGGTCTGCTGATAATAAATAATAATTATAATATGAACCTGAAACTCATAGAACTACTATTTTTGCTCTTTAGGAAATAGAAGAATCACAATGGAACAGCAGAATGAGGGAGAAGAGTGGTTAAATATTCGACACCCTGATTTTGTAACATTTGTTCTGGCTTTCACAGCAGAAGATACAGAAATATATCCCAGCTCCATGTTCAGAGAAAGTGGCGTGAAAACGTTTTCTGCTGCAAAATGGTGGAAAATATTGATTTCCAAAATTTCCGCAACTCAAGAACATGATGCCCATCCAGAAAATGCTGCTCTGCCATTGCCATTCTGCCAGTTTGTGTTCAACTATCACAGTGTTCCAGTTTTCGTCTGCTTCTCTCAAAAGGATTTTTTCAAACTGGCAACATTTGGTCCAAGACAAGAAATCGTTTAGGCACAGAGAAAGTGGCAAAGCTTGCCAAAGTGTATTGCCACTACCG